GGGGGGGGGGGGGGATTCGAATATCTTGAAATTGTAATTTGAATATTTAGAAACTTCTGATAATAAATTTTTTTGTCTAACAAAAGAAAGTGCTAAAATAAATTTTAGATCATCATGTACCTCGTGATTCCCAAAAGTGAGCGTAAGATTATTCATACGCAGATATACTATGTATTTCGTAACTGTCGATCTTCATTAAAATACGATTTCTTCATTTTCCTATTCATGATATAGTAATAAAGGGTTTGAAAAAGAAGAGCTTTTACAAGATGGTAACGAAATGAACTACAATATTCTCAATGAGAGGAACTTTAGCTCAATCTATTAGCCAATTCAAGATTTCGATGCCGAATAATAGCTTAATTATTTGGCTAAACTTCTAAAATCAACTTATTTTGAAAAGTTGATGAAAAGCAATTTGTATTTAATTAATTAATTAATTTAAAAATATTTTTGAGTAGCAATTAGTGTTTGGCCGAACTTTTAAAAAGTGCAGTATATTTTTCTTTAAAATGCTTTTAGGAAAAAATATTTTTTTTTGGTTATCAAAAATTGTTTATGCTCTCCTCAAAAATACTTTTTCTCTTTCTAAAATCTTGGTCTAACGCTTTAACTTTGGAAAAAAATAACCATGCTATAAGCATGAGTTGGATTCACTATCCCTTTTCACTATGTTTTCTCATATATCCCATTATACATGTAATATAAAAAATTAAAAAAGAAATCAAGATTTAACAAAATTTACTCTTTACTATTTTCAATCTTCACGCAATTCAATTCTTATCTTTTACTGCATGGTTTCATTTCTTAATTTTGGTTTTATTAGAAAAAAACTAAGTAACATATAAGAAATTGTCAGTTTCCATGAGTAATATATAGTTAAAAAAGTTAAAATTTAAAGATTGAATAATGAACATACCAGTGAAATAAACAAAATGATTTTTTGAGAGATTTTTGCACCAATATCCGACTGAATTCATGTTTATTTTTTTTAGCCAGTATTCATAAATTATACATGATTATAATTTAAGCGGTTGGGCAAACAACTATTAGGTTAATTCTTCAAGCTTGGTAAAAATTTGGAAGGAAGACCCAAATATCAGTCAATATTTATCTTGAAAAAATGAAAAAAAAATCGGAAATAGCCTAATTTACAACTGGTATTGAAAATTAATCGCAGTTACAAAAGTAATCGAAATTTAGTTACTTTTTCATATAAAGATAAAATTTGAACAAAAACACCCTTAAAAATCCGAAAATATTCCAGATTCCAGTTTAGATTTTTTACATATGAGATTCCAGCATAATGTGCTGAAATTTCATAATGTGGTGGAGCTCCTGCGTATAAACTTCCCGCACATTATGCTGAAACTTTCCGGGTTTCAGCTAAAATAGTGACTATTTTTCAATTACCAATCCGAAAAATAGCCAGCTCATGTTATTTTCACTGAAAAAATGATAAGAGAATATTGTTTTCACCCACTGGACCAATATTTTCTCATGGGAGGCCCAAATTTGCTATTTATCATAGGGAAATTACGTCGTCTCTTATTAGATAAGGGGTCGTTTGGTATATGATAGATAACCAAAAAATAATTATGATAAAAATTTAGTACCGCCTTATCCCTTGTTTGGTTATTAATCCTGGGATAAGTTATCACATGATTCCGGGATAACTTATACTTGCCAGAGGGTTGAATAGTAATCGCACGATAAGTTATCCTGGAATAAAACAGTAAAATTGACAATCCTAAAATTAATACAACATACCAAACAGTCAATAAGAAATAATACCAGGATAACTAATCGCAGTATAACTTGTCTTCAAACCAAACGTCTCGTTAGTGTAGAACAAAAGCAAAGTGTAAATTCAAATTCCCGTTTGATAATTTTTTACACTTCAAGATAATTTGAGTTAGTATTCGATAGTGATGTCATGTCAATTTAAGATCCGAATCCGTCTCAGAGTCCACGTAGATGTTTTATATTTGTGGACCACATAAAATGACTAAAGATCCAATGTGATAAATAAACCTTTCGATCATCTGAAAAGTGGATGACTTAGTAGACCCTCTTTATAATTCTCTCCAATGTCGAATCTCCACTATTCCCTCTAAAGTATGATATGACAAGGAAAGGTGCTTGTCTGTTAACAAAATGCACAAAATAGGCCAAATAGCTTTCAGGTATGGGTGTCTCCTTTTGCCAAAGTTCTTTCAGCTTAATTTGCAATACCAGTGATAGTACTAATTTATGTGTGTATAGAACTATAGACCCATATTCAAACTTTTAAGTTTATACGTTCTAAAGATCTCAAGATCTCAAGTTAATATAATACTCCATTTGTTTCAAATTAGATGAGGTTCTTTCGTTTTTAGTCTGAATTTGGAGATAATTAAACTTTAAACTATTCATTTTACTCATTTTACCCTTAACGAGAAGCTTTTATAACCACACAAATATCATGACCCAATAAAATTTTTACCTCTTAAGCCTTTAATATCACAAGTTACAAAAGTCTTTTTTTTTCTTAAACTTCATGCCGAGTCAAACTATCTCATCTAAATTGAAATGGAGGGAATAATAATGAACTAACGGATTGTGTTTCAAACTAAATATTTTTATACTTAATTTTACTAAGCTTTTTAATACAAATACAAGCTCTAAGCAAAAGTAAATGACTTCACATAAACCCGTAATCTTTGCACAAGATCCGCCCCATCTACCTTTACATTCTGCCAGAATAGGTCATATTTCTCATAGTTTTTACACCTTTCATTGATCACTAGCTCACTTGGGTGCAATAGCCCGATTTGGTATTTGTCCCTCGCGTGTAACTAAAAAAGAAAAGAAAAGAAAGGGAAGTCCGGTGCACTAAGTTTCTGCTATGCACGGGTCCGGAAAGGGTCGGACTACAAGTGTCTATTGTATGCAATTTTACCCTACGTACATTTTTGCAAGAGGCTGTTTCCACCGCTCGAACGATATGACCTCCTGATCACATGACAACAATTTTACCAATTACCAATTAACTCAAGGCTCCCTTCTCGGGTGTAACTCTTAAAATTAAATTAACTGATTTATTTGTAAATATAGCGTAGAAGTATTTTCTTCCCCTAAGTTAAGAAAAGAAAATCTAAATTTATAACGGGCTAGTCATTATTAATACAAACTGTTTCTGACCTTTGTTTCAGTATAGAACTCAAAGACAGAAAATTCTTCAAGTCTGATTAAGTAAGAGCAATTTGAATCTCTTTTATTCTCTCTTGAGTTTATTTTTAAAAAATTCAAGGCCAATTTCCTTTTGTTTTTTAAAACATGCGGCCGGTTTGACTAAGTTGACCGGGGGGAGATAGATTTAATTTGACTAGAAATTATCATAATCATCAAAGGAATAATTCTCTTAATTCTAACTGGCAAATAATAATAATAATAATTTACGAGGCAAACTGTTGGTTGCAATTCCATCCTACATAAAAAAAAAAGGTGTGCACTTCAAATGTTACGAAGATCTTTTTTCCTTTTCTTTCTTCACCTTTCTCCTATTTATTATAGGCTTCCACTCACCAAAAGATACTTTAAAAAAATAAATATAGACATTTAAAAAAACAACCAAAATAGAGTCTTAATTATAGACATAAATATTTGCAAGATTACACGAATTAGAAGATATCTAATTCAAAATAAAACCGCACTAAATATTGTCTAGTTATTATAAATAAACAACTTGTAGTTCTTTTTCAAGCGGGCTATCAAGATTTTTTTTTTTATCTCTAACATATTCCTATAGTAACCAACAAGAGTTTTGGTAGAGTGATTAGTAATGAATTCATGGTTTCGAGTCGAAAACCTTAAAGCGTGACTTTTTGATGCAAATATGGATTTGATGGTATGCCAATGCGAATATCAGCTACGGAATTAGAAAAACCCCAAAAAAACATACTCCTATAGTAGTCAGAGTCTCAACGACCTATATGTATACCTAATATTCCAGTTGCATCTGAAAAGGACAGCCAAAAATACTACTCCAATTATAGGAGATACCTGTTATAACTTTATCGTATTATCCGTACCATATTCAAACCTTCCACTATAATCCAGTCAAACAAAAATTACTTTGAATAATTTAGGTGGATGTATCTGTTAACTTAAGTATTAATTAATCCTCGAATAGTTTTATATATTGTTTTAAATACTTTATTTAGCTAGTCAAACAATTGTATAATTGGGTTGAAATAATTTCACGAGTGGAGTCCTGGGATGATAGTGTATACGCCTTACGTAACCCTACCTTGAAGGTAAATAGACTGTTTCCGATATACTCTTTGATCAGAAAAGATAAATGTAGAGAGACTCTCTCTTATATATATACCCTCAGCTCAGTAATGTTAAACAAATTATAATGAAAAAAGGCTAATAAAACGTATGATGAGGGAAAAGAAGGAGCAGAAATTAAGCACCTCATATGGCCCATTTCATGTCAACTCAATAGGTCCATTTGATGTGATTTCAACAATTTCATCCCTCCATTTTCACCTGTTTCCTTCAACCTTTGTTTAAACTCTCCATATTTTCCACACATTTAGACTTACACACAAATAGATCAATATTCTCGATCTATTTCAATTCCTCTCTAGTCATGTCAAGTAGTGATAGAGGCAAAGATTTGGCTGAGGGATCATCGAGATCCCCAGGAGATCAATCAATAACAACACCTAGTCGATACGAGTCCCAAAAACGACGAGATTGGAATACTTTTAATCAGTACTTGAGGAATCAGAGGCAACCAATTCCGCTATCTCAGTGCAATAGCAACCATGTACTAGAGTTTCTTCGGTACCTGGACCAGTTTGGAAAGACTAAGGTTCACTTACAAGGTTGTATGTTCTATGGACAACCTGAGCCCCCGGCTCCTTGTACTTGTCCGCTCAGACAAGCTTGGGGAAGCCTTGATGCACTCATCGGTAGGCTTCGAGCCGCCTACGAAGAAAATGGCGGCTCGCCTGAGACGAATCCATTTGCTAGTACTGTGATTCGTGTGTATCTTAGGGAAGTGAAAGAGTGTCAAGCTAAGGCCCGTGGCATTGTGTATAAGAAGAAACCAAAGAAGGCTAGCCCCAGCAAAGGAGATGATGATTCCAGTTCTTCAGGCTTCCTCTCATTTTCATGATCCACTAATGTAGTTCTATTGCCCCCCTTGTGCCTTCCCCTCGAAAATAGTAAGATCTTTCACACTCTAAGTGCTTTTAGAGTCATTTGGTTTATATAGTCTAATAGTATGAGATTATAGAATAGAAGTGAGCTTGACATAAATGATAAAGTTGCTGACATGTGACTAGGAGGTCACAGATTCGAGTCGTGGAAACAGCTTCTTGCAGAAATGCAGGGTAAGACTGCGTACAATAGACCCGTCTCGCCTTCTCCGGATCCCGCATATAACGAGAGCTTAGTGCACTAGACTGTCCTTAGTATGAGATTATAATACAAATATTGTTCATTGCTGCTGTATTTTTGGCGCGAAATATAAATTTATATGTTAAAGAACACTTAGATTTCTATAAATATAATAGTAGATTTTAAACCCGTAAATAAATTTAGATGTACAATAAATTCAGTGCTAAGAATAGGAAGGTTGATTCCATTGTTAACAAAATTTTGCATCCAGTCTCTGATTCATGCGGTGAATTATAATGCAGTGATTGTATGTGAAAGCGCTGAGCTGTTTTATGAGAAATGAAAAGGGTATAGATATGATGAACTTCACTATAGTTCTGAGTACTTTTAGAAATGAAGAGGAAACGGAAAAGTTTCAGCTGTTTTATCTCAAACCCTAGAAATACTAGTGGATATATAAATGCAAAAATCTAATTATTGATATCCGATAACTATGTACTATAATCTTTATCAGGCAGAAAGACTATAATTCAAATCTCACTTTCACTAGCTTCATAAATAAGAATTTACATATGTGTGGCTCATGAGAAAATAATAATTCGGCTCACAGACCTATAAGAAAATGTATAATTAAGTAAATAAAAATATATTCTTCAACTACTTGATTTTTAAATGAAATGATCATACAAACACTCATAACGCTATTCGAATAACTAGATTATGAGAAAATTATAGTCACTCAAAATTTGAAATTTGACATCATTAAGGGTTATAGTGCCATGAATAGGATCCAAAGTTCTTGAGTTTGAGCTTCGGAAATAAAAAGATTTTAGTAGGGAGGACTTCCCCTTTTGCTGGTTTTTGTGCGGGCGAATGCAACTTAGTTTGAATCTTAATGTGGGTAGTGAAGAATAAGAGGGCAACCAAAAAAAAGAAAAAAGAAACATGACAAAACAGAAAAGAGAAGGAATTTTATTTGACACGTGTGAAAAATGAAGAAGCTCGTGCTCTTTCTCGGTCTTTGCCAATAGCAGATTGGTCAAGAATTTACCCCTTTAATTTCCTCACTTTCTGCCATGAGTAAAGCTGTCTGCAATAAGATTCGAATATAGTAAACAAATCCTAGATAGATTATATGTCAGTTTATTTTGTTTACATTCTTTTTGGACTTTTATCCCCCCCCCCCCAAC